TATATATATATATATATATATATATATATATACAAAAAGAAATGTTTACTACTCAGATTCTGGTTAACTCTGCTAATAGTCTTTTCTATTTTGTTTCTTCTGCTTTACTTTTCTGCCACTATATTCTTCAGTTCTGAAGTTGGTTTCCTTTTGCTTTGAATGATCCTTGATTCAGAACAGTATACTAGTATACGTTTTACCAAATGCTGTAAGAATCTGAAATTTACCCAAGAAATAAAATAAAAAAAATTTGCTAACTTTGAAGTACAATCAATAGGAAATGGTTATCTTAGCAAATGTTTAAGAGAATTACTAACTTTGATGGTACTTGTTGGTAACTGGTCAAATCTATGTACATTGAAATGCATGATCACTGTTCCTGGTGTGAAGCATAGCATCTTGAGAAATTTATTTACCTTCAATAATTTTTTCCTTTTTCTTATTCATTAAGGATAAGTCACTGCCAGGTGTAATTCAATTAGAAACCCAATCTAGACTTATGACACTGCTTGGTTGGGATTTTTTTAATTTATTTTTAATTCCTAATCATCAATATTTTCTTGCTATTAAATGATTGATAACTACGGGACAAATTTGTGAGTATCCATTCCACCCCAATCAATCCAAAAAATTAAGAAGAAGACAATATGGATTTAATTACTCATTATTTACTATTAATAATTTTTGTAACTGCTCCATAAAAAACAATAATTTTGTAACCCTTCCTTGGGGGTTATAAATTGCTATAATTTATTAAATTTGGTGGAAATAAATTTTTCCTTGCCGCACATTTAACGAGAGGGGACCATTGCGCTTTCATGTCCTACAATGTCGACATGCTCAAATTACCTCAAAAAGTAAATGAAATAATATAAAATTACTTGAAAATATATTTATTTGTATCAGTAACATATAAGATATTAATGATATTATCAAATTAAAAAAATCACACCTTTAATGTTATTTAATTTCGATTGTTACAAGAGTTAAATTGCTCTTGAATTTTTGTTTCACTGCTAGCTGTCAAGCTGGTATGTGTGTGCATATATATATATATATATATATATATATATATATATATAACTTTGATATTTATCTTGTTAATAGTAGTATCTGATAATTTGTTACTACACTTGAATGTTGCAACTAAAACATTAATTAGTGAATATTAATTGGGTTAGATTTGCTTTAATAAGTAAGAAAAAACAATATCATTCAGTAATAATTATAAGATTATGAATAAAAATAAGTGATTATTACATATAAAATTTACATTTCATATTTAAAGATAAAATAAATTTGTCCAAACTAGAACCATCCGTGTAATAACGTCTTCTTCTTTTTTTTCTGAATAATTCCATAATCACATCTTAAATAGGGAGCCAATTTTTTTTTAAAAAAAGAAAAATACAATATTAATGCAAGTCTGAAATTTTTCTTGGGATATGGCACATTCAGGCATGAGAAATTGATAATGGTAGCTAGGTTTAATTATGGTATGTCACAAAGAGGAATGAGAAAGTAGCTACGTGGTATTCAATTGGCTTTATTTAGAGAGAACATGGTTTCCCCGTGAGTCATAAAGAAGAAAAATTTTCATCCTTACCCACTCATTTTATTATATTAAGCTTTTACCTTTATTACCTTTATATTTTTTTTTTCTTTTTGAAATCAAATGTGGTTTTCCACTGGTTATTAATTATACCATTTTTTTCATTGAGAATGACTCATGCGGTTGCGGTCCAGGCACATAATCGTGTAAACAAGGCAAACAGCAATTCCCGCCCAAAACTTTTTGAAAGAAGGTTGGTGCATGGTTTAGTAGGTTTCACATCCACCACATGCAATAGACCCTCGCATGTATATTTTACTTGTACAGCCATTCAGGCATTCACCATTCATGTCAAATAGTAGTAATCGTTCTAAGCAGGGATATGTCGTTGCTCAATCTTCGGATTAACATTATATATATTGTACTACATAAAGTTTCTCTATTCAAAATTAATATGGATGAAGATTATATCAACATATTTTATTAATAAAATTTAATTTTTTAAATTTAAATATTAATGTTATATGTGACGTATTCAATCGTTTAATATGTTGTTAGAAAAATACTTGTGCTAGGAAAAAAATGTAAAAAACAAAGTATTTAGTTATTTTTCACAAAAGAAGCCACGTGTTTGTATTAGATCAATGCATTAATATGAATATTAATTAGATAATTAAAAAATTATAATAAGTTGACTCATGACTCCATTATCAAAAACCAAACCTCAATCCCATGTCGTGTGTTTCCCTTTCACAAAGGATATATTCTATTCTTTGCATATTAGGAAACATCAACTTAGCGACATATCATAAGGTTTGTTAAGCTTTCACATCAAAGTTTCAAAATCCCCATCCTTTTAGGGACACTAATCAACCCACCCATCAATCCACGTGTACGGTCTCGATGGATCCGTCATCAAAACTATTCCCATTTATGTCCCACTTGCAAGTATGGTAGAAGTAAAAACACCTTGTTCCGTCCTCATTTTCACCCAACTGAAATTTTCACTTTTCCAAAGCATTTGTAGGACAAATGATTGGATTGGGATTGGCCTTTGGGGCTGAGGGGGTGACCTTCGTTGGGGCAGGTACCCTTGGTCCATGCAGCCATAGAGGCCAGAGATATGTCACGTGAGACCCTGCCCTGAGAGTACCTTCCCCACAAAAATTTAACAAACCCCCAAAAATTTTAGCAGGCACAAGTACTTAACCAAATAATGATACTACTACTATTATACATTCGTTCTTTCTCAACTCCCCACATTCTCTGTGATCTAAACTTCATGCCAAAATCATAGTGTCGACTACTCCGTGCCTGCTTTAGCACTTGCCACATGGACAAAACACGACAAAACATTAATCTTAATTTGAGAAGCAATATTATAGTACTAAGGTTTATTGTTCAATGATGAACATGATTTCTTTGGGTGATGCTTTGATCGAGAAATAAGCAAAGTCTAGGAGGTCTTTATCTGAATGTCAGATTGTGGATTAATAGAATAACAAAGGGTTTAGTTGACTAAAAACTCGGGGGCTTCATTTTCTTAATTAATCCCTGGATGCTTTTGCTGTTTGCAAGTGAACAGAAGAAAAGTCATGATGTTAAAAGTATAATTATATGAGAAACTGTCAGTTAATGCTTTCTGAAATGGATCCATGGCATGTGTAGACAAAGTTTCTTGGCAGAATTAGATCCTGTTGGGTGGGCCATTGTTAGAAACTTTGGGCTTTGGGGAATTTTTTGTGCTTTAATGCATTGGTTTTATTATTTTAACTAGGGTGTTTTCTTTTCTTTTTCTCTTTGGTTTTCTTCATGTTATGTTGCTGGCTGAGTTTTCCCATTTGACAAGCACATCAGGCCATTGCAGGCTCATTTCCCTTGGAAAAATATGAATCCCCAACCTTTTAGACAGGTGATTCTCTTATCGTCCTTAATGATTTGAATCCCATGGTAGAGGCTTACAGGTTATAATTCCAAAAGGTCATTGGTTTTTTTTTTTTCTGGATTAATAGTTTGGTAACATAAAATAATACCCAATTACCCAACTATGACTTACATTCCAATATATATTCGAATCTAGATAGTGTTTTGTCTTGTATGAAAAAAGAGAGTGCTGATTATTGATGAGTAATTGACTATTCCCTACATTTGGCTTAAGACTTTGAAAATTTGAGGGAGATCAGGGTTATATATGTTTTTTAAACTATGAATCCTAACCACTGAACCTAAGCAGGTAGAAAAGGGCTACAGGGAGGCCAATTTATTTGAGCAAACCAACTACTCAACTATATCCTACCAAATGGACCATGCTACATTTTGCCTCCTTGACTTTTTACTGTGGAAACAAATTCAATGTTGAATCTAACCTTGACTTAAACATTCATGGCTAGGGTTGTACAAAAGAATAATATATATATATATATATATATTAAATAAATAAAAGTTATTTCAGCTTGTTTTCAACTCTAAGTGGGGTTAGGTTTGGGCAATTGTACTTTTATTAATTGTCCTCTATACAAGTATTCTAATAATTATTTTTTTTGTCTTTACGTTATTAATAATTATATACTTATCTGAAAATGAACATTTAATGATTAAAATATAAAACTTCATTATGAAGATTTTATGTTTAAATTTTGAAATAAGAATTGAGATCCATAGAATGAGAGAAGATTTCTACTCTATCTATAATCGAAAGTCCAATAGCCTTTATATACATATCTAGGATAAACATCATTTAGCACAAACTCACATGAGATACTTTGAGTGATAGGACCCGAATCTCCTTTCTTGGATTAAATGAGTTGTATCTGATATGGGGTTCAATTATTAAGAAATGTGGGATTTAATACATCCCTTACAACGAAAAAGGGAAAAGAAAAAGCTTTTGGAAGTGTAAGTGCTATTATCGCCAACTTGGTTGTGATCCTAGGGTAAAGGACTAGGTTGATGTTTTAGGAGATAACTGACAATGTTATAATTCTCCCTACCAGAGTTCCAGTTCGTGGACCGCATAATTGCTAACAAGGAAAAGTACAAGTATTATCACACTAGAATAATTTCCTGGCTGACCATGTCTCCTAAATTCTATATCAAATTTTATAGTACTGCTCGTA